AGTGAATTGTTAGAATAATGAAAATATTAATGCTTAGCTATAACTTACAATATACTGAGAGAATAGGGAAGGAAAAGTAGGAATGTAAGGGAATTAAGTCTTCATTGTCTTATGTGAAAGTCAATAGTTACTATCTTAAAGTTGATGACTTGAAAAGAGCAATATTCCTTTATTATTTAGAAATGTACCAGAAAGTAGGGGAAAAATATTTAAAGGCATTACCTCAAAAGAGCAGTATATTAGGAGAATTCGGCCCTCGTGTCAAGGCATAAAAGTTTGCTGATAACGTTGTTATAATTCTTTTTACTATTTGACTGTTTGGACTTTGATAAATATTGAAATTATTTTTAAAAATTAAATGAAAGAAAGAGGAAGTCTCAGAATTCTAAAGACCAAAGTGTTATTTTTCTGCTATTCATGTATCACTGATTATACAATATGCAGATACAACCTTTCTGATACCACTTTTCATTTGTGTGATTTCATTCCTCTGCTTATGAAATGAATTAATATTTTCTATATCTGGGCTAAAATCATACCCCCAAAAGTTGAAAGGCATTAAGGTTTTTTTCATAAAAGAAAGGGAGTTATACAACTCTGAAATTTCACTTAGGGAAGAACTAATTGTCAATCTACATGTCAAAGCATGCCACATTTTAAAAGTTTTAATGGTCAAAACCTCTCTTTTTCAGAGGCAAATTAAATAGCTCACTCAATTTTCTTCATTTGCAAATATTATGTATTCCATTTACTATGCTATTGAATTTTATCTTCCTAAGAAAGGCACAATACACATTATGAAGTGACATATATAAGACTAGTAGTTCAAGTTTGCACTGTTATGTATATCTATTTTCCAAAGAGGGATATTTTTTTCTAAATCGTTACATATGTGGTAAGGGTTAGGAGGCTTCAGGCCTATAACAGAGGTTTTGGCCAAGTTTCCAGACACAAATACTTTATTTAAACACTTTCTGTTACTTTTATTTTTTATGAAGCCCAAATTTTCATATTAATAATTAAAAACTGTTAATGTGATATTGTGCTGGCCTAGGGCCAGAACCAGAGCAAAACTATTTTATAAAATGCAAAACTGTTTTTAGATAAGTTGAAATGGCTGCCCCATTCTCCTTACAATAACTACTGTCCTTGGCCTCTGTGAATAGAACTGCCAGTTTGTTCCTCAAAACTATGTAAAGCTGCTTACCTTTTCTTATCAGTAACTGCTAAAATCTGTGACTTCTATCACCACCCAGACGATGTGTAAACAAATGTATATCCTGACTTCTGTAAACCACTGAGGTAACAAACGGAATGACAAAAGTCCCCATCCCTTGGAATGTCCGGGGACCCCCGCCCTCATCTCTGCCCAGGAGGTAATTTACAGAATCCACTAGCCCTTGGAATGTCTGAAGCCTTTTCATCCCCATCCCCGCCCCTCACCCCCACTCCCAAGGTGGTTTTTCGGGTATAAAAAATCGTGGCACCCTCCTGTTGCCACCACAGGTTGGAGAGACGTGAGTCCTCTGTGGTCGCCGGCATAATAAATGACCCTACAATCTGGCATACTTTTGTCTTGTGATAACTTTCTACGCTCCAGTCAAATACAACATTAATAGGAGCAGAATATCTTATATTCTCTCTTATCTCTATTTATTTGTTATATCCTCTTTCCAGCAGATCAATATTTCATGGCACCCTATAGTTCTCAGTATTTTTCATCTTGCTCTTTCCCCTAAGATTTCTATAAAACTTCCTATTCCCTGCCCAGACCTACTCTTTTTCTTGTCACTTGGGAAAGGAAGCACTCTAGCCAAGAATTTGACCTGTGCCTGACATTCAAGGCCTGTAGAAAGCAATTTAGTAATGTTTCTTGACGTCAAGGCAAATTTGAATCTTCAGTGTAAGAAACAATCATGTAAAACAAAACCATGATGGATTCAAAACATGGTCTATATTTCATATTTGGGGAAAAAATGCCTACAACAATAAATTTTTTTTTAATTAGGTATATGTGATAGACACCCATCCTCTATTTCCAGGGAATATTCTTCAGTGAATACACATGCAAGCCAGTTCCATGCAATATCTGTTCCGAAATTGCTATACAATAGGAACTAATGTTTAAAATAATCCCTATGAAATTATAATTAAAATTGAAATTTAATTTAAATAGCATTAAAGAATGGGAATTGGACTAAAACTGAAAAAGGGAGGGCTGAAAGAGCACTTCTTACATTAATAAGTTGTTTTATAAAGTTTAGCATACATTAACTTTTGATTTTGTTCCTGCTGACTTCCCTGAACCTCAAGGTAAGTTTAGAAACTAAAATCCACGTTGTTTGAAACAAAATGAGCTAGGTTTAAGAACACTAGACCTAGCTTTAGATAGGCTCGTGCCATTCCTCAAGTCTAGGGAACAGCTAGAGTTTGGTAGAACAGATCCCATCAAGGTCTTCCAGAGAACTCAGAATTGATCCACCAGAAGATTAGAGTTTCAATGCAAGCCAGATCCCAATCTTTCTTTGTACCTGGTGGGTGCTGTGGGCTAGGAATAGCTTTAATGCATTGGAGGACTTTATTGCTGCTGGAGAAAGCTTACAGGGCATGCTAGGTTAACCCTTAATTTTTTTGTATGCAATTATTGACCCATCTTCAATACTTCTGTGCCTAAATCCACTGACATAATGCTAGCCTATCTTATTTTACTTAAGATCTCAGCAGCATTTGACCAAGTATATTAGACTCCCTCCTAAAACTAAAACATTTTGTAAAGGGTACTATTTCAAACAAGAGCTTTCTTCTGGGTCTTGGTTAACATAAATTCACAGATAAGTCCTACCTAAACAAATATGCTAACCTCCCCTGATTTTCTGATGGTTACATTCAATAAACTGCACTTCTATCCAGTAGATCAAGCCAGAAGACTGGGAACCAGTTTGGCCTCTTTCCCCTTCCAATAGACCTTCACATTTTGCTCATTGTAATTCTTAAATACCCATAAAGCCCAATTATGACTTTCTGTCTTTCCCACTGATGTCTCTATTGTACAAATCTATACCCTGGCACCCAACTGGCCTCACTACTCTCCTCTGTTCTGGTCTCTTCCTTTTAAAGCCTTTTACTGATTTGCCTTTATGACAAACTTTAGCCTCTTAGCATATATTTTAAGACCCTCCATGAATGATTTCACTCACCACTGCATATAGTCATATTAGTTTCAACCTGCCCTCTCCATTTTTTTCCTCACATCAGCTACATTAGCGCTCCCATCTCTTGTTCACCTGCTTCCCCCATACTGCTCCTACTTTCTCCAATCTTGTCCCCTTCTTCTTGGCCTGATTACCTCCTATGCTTCATCTGAGTATTCCTCTAAATGCCATTTCCTCAGAGAAGCCTTTCTTGCTTCTTAATTTAATTAATTAATTAATTAATTTATTTATTTATTTATTTATTT